TACTTCACCTTTCTTATAAAAACTCTCTTTCTTTCTTTCCTGCCTTCTGAGGGTGGAGAATAGCCACAAACCCACAAGAAGGTAGAAATTCCAGCCAGCCGCCTGCACTTCTCCTTGGAAGAATCTAGAATGTGAACAGGACCAGGAGAATCCATTCCAGGTGTTTTATGTGTTTCTGCAACATTGTTTGAGAAGACAGAATGATTCCTCTGTCTCCTTTCTGATTCTTACAGCACATCTGGGAAATGCAGACATGATCCAGCCGGGGCTGATTCCTCTGCAGCCCAACCTGGACTTCATGGACACTTTTGAACCCTTCCAGGGTGAGGACATGGGGCAGGGAGCGAGCATGGCTGCCTGGATCTATCTCCCTTTGCCCAGGTTAAAGCACACTGGTGCTTCCCTTCATTAGAGTTAGAATGGGCAAGGGGGAGGACTTAGAATTTTTCCAGAACTACCTTTTTTTTTTTTTTTGGTAGTAGTTGCAAGATCTGGGAAGCTTCTCTGCCACAGGGTTCTCTCACTCCTGCAGTCTCAGATCCTCAGGTTTGCCCAGGACCGTAAGCAGTTCTCCCTGTAGGCAGCAGAGGGCGCTGGTAACACAGCCACCTCCCCGCAGTGTCCTGCAGTTAGAACTGGGCTCGTAAGAGCCGCCAAACGCCAGGCCTGGGAGTATTTCAGACCCCACACTAGTTGCCAGCATGAGCGGTTCCAATCAGAGGGCCTCTTTCTGCAGTTACTTCAGGGGGGAACACCCTCTGGCCATGGCATTCCTCTGGGTAAGATGGGGTTCAGTGCCCGATTTATTTGGATCTTAATTCAAGGATATGATGGGCACACCTTGCTCAGAAGCGCCCGATGTTGTCTTTCAGACCTCTTCTCTTCCAGCCGCTCCATTTTTGGTTCCATGCTGCCTGCTCCTGTCTCAGCACCTGCACCAGATCCCAACAGTCCACCTGCTCAGGTAGAGGGAGCTGGGGAGAGGTGGCCAGGGCTAGGCCAATGAATAACTGTGCAGTCATAAGCAAAGTGCTAGGACTTGCTAGATCTAGTGCTGAACACACATACAATGCATAAAGACGTTATTCTAGCCCTCCTTGAAAGCAGCCATAGATCTCCAAGAGGTGGGAGCTGTCGGTAAGCCCGTGCGTGCTCCTGCCTGAGGCTCCGTGTAACCTGTGTGCGGCGAGCTCTGTTCTAACCAGTTGAGAGAGGATCAGCAAAGGAAAACACGGATCACTAAAAAAAAGTTCCATGTATTTCTTTTACTTTTTACGTAACAATTAACACAAGTTGGTTTTCAGCTGCTGGGGCTGCAGAGCTGGGTGAGGCCCGGCTCTTTGCCCTTAGGGGCTCTCAGGCTGGTACCCATATCTAGTCAGACACCAGAAACCTGGCCCCATCTTCTTCCATCTGGCTCTGGGAAGAATTTCTTCTATAGAGACTGAGGTCTTGGCAACTGATTCCTTAGAGCGTTTCCCTTTTAGGAAGAGGTGACCTCTGGAAGTTGATACATGAAACTGTCCTGAGGAAGCCCTCTGAGCAGCTGTGCTTCAGGCTGCCTGTGCTGTGTAATGGAAGATGGCCGGGACTTTGGGGGGACCCCTGCTGGACTCTAGAGACGAGATCTTCCCAGGCCTAGAGCCAACTGTGTGCAGACAGTCACTTTGTCTGAGCTCTGTGTTATCATTTAGTCCCTAGTGGAAACAGGACCCCTGCGGACGCCTGGAGAGACACAGCTCCATTCCCCCCAGATTAGCGGGAGTGGGGGCGGGAGCCATCGCCTCGTCCCTCTGTCTGAAGGTTCTGCTCAGGCGCCCAGCGTACGTTGTTGGACTTTGGTGTGTCGTACCAGGAAGTGACAGCAAGTTGTGTGATCCAGCATTTGTCCTTCCTTTCTTAGGAGAGCATCCTGTCATCCACCGCTCTCCCCACCGTGAGCCTCCCTGATGGCCTCATAGCAGCTCCTGCAGCCACCACCCTGGACCCCACGGATAGGCAGGGCTGTGAACGAGCTCCCCGGCCTGGAGACCCCTTTATCCAGCCCACAGACTTCGGTCCTCCTGCACCACCGCTGAATGTCCCTCAGCCTTTCCTCCCTGTGTTCACCATGCCCTTGCTGTCTCCCAGCCCTGCCCCAGCACCTGCTTCCCCTGCCCTGCCTCTAGCCCCACCACCCCCTGCCCCTGCCTTGAGCCCCTCGGCTCCACCTACCTTCCTACCGCCGAAGTTTGCTGGAGCCAGCAAGTCGCCTCCCGTCATCACACACACGGCCTCTGCCACCCTCACCCATGACGCGTCTGCCACCACCTTCAGCCAGAGCCAGGGCCTTGTCATCACAACCCACCATCCCACGCCCTCAGTGTCCCCCTGTGGCCTGGCGCTGCCTCCGGTCACCCGGCCGCCAACTGCCGGGCCTCCCCAACCCTGTTTAACTTTTGTGCACCCCAAACCTGTCTCTTTGACTGGGGGGAGGCCCAAGCAGCCCCCCAAAATAGTGCCTGCTCCCAAACCAGAGTCTGTGTCCGTGGTATTGAAGAATGCTTGCATTGCCCCAGGTGAGTCAGGTGGAGGGAGGCCAGAGTCTGAGCTCCCCTTCCCGAGGGATATTTCCCTGTCCCCAAGGCTTGCAAACTTGCGACACACCCACACTCGTGAAACAAAAGGGTTCCGATCTACCACATGTGTGTGATCTAGTCTGTTGTCTACTCTGTGGTCTTCTTTTCAAGTTAGTCTCAACCCAGTTTGAAAAAGCATGGTTCAGGTGATCTCTTTCCTGGGTCTGTAATCTGTCCCCTTCAGGAAGTTGCAAAACAAATGTCAGGTACCCCGGTGATTTTGTCTCTCCGTGCCCTGCGGTGAGGAAGGCGATGTCTGAGCAGCAGGAGAGGGGTCTGCGCTGCTCCTGGGGAGCCCCACAGTGCCTGGGCTCAGCAACAGTAGTGTCAGAAGCAGACCCCCATGACTCCGGTCCTCACCCTCACCTTCTTGTTCTGGCAGCTGCCTTTTCAGGACAACCACAAGCAGTGATCATGACATCAGGCCCTCTGAAGAGAGAAGGGATGTTGGCTTCTACCGTGTCGCAGTCCAGTGTGGTCCTCACGCCTGCTGCCATTGCCCGGGTGAGGGGGCCCTAGGCAGACCCTCGTGTCCTTATCCCCCCAGCATGGCCCTGCTCTTGGTGGTCCTCACCTGACATGACTGTGGTCGGGGGTGATCTCTGTCTCCTGTGTCACCTCAGGCTCCTGGAGTCACGGAGTTCCACAGTGGCATCCTGGTGACAGACCTTGGCCGCACCACGAGCAGCCAGCCGGCCCCTGTCTCTCGGCTCTTCTCTCCAGGCGCTGTGCAAGACTCCCTGGTGAAGGGCGAGCAGGTCCCTGCCACGGCTTCCAGTGAGTGTGCGCTCCAGTCCGAATGGTTGGGACTTCGTGAGTGAAATGAGCATGCCCACACCTGGGTCAGGGAGACTGCCCGTGGGGTTGCCTGGGATTGGGGCTGGACTTATGGGATGTGCAGTGAGGTCTTAGAAGCCTAGTGGCCCACGCTGGGACGTGCTCAGTGTAGGGCCGGATCATCCACAGTAGCAGGAAAGTGGCAAGCGTGTGCGGGGCAGGCAACTAATGCACTCGGGGAACACCACTCTGACCTCCTTCAGAAAGGCCTGGCTCTGAGTTGCCAGTTCTGATCCAGACAAGGGATTGAGGCTGTCAACGCTTTCCAGAAAACGGAAACCACCCAGGCTTGTCTCCACATCACCGTGCTCATCCCTTAGTTTTCAAGCACCTCACATCGTTGAGCCCATTGCCACACCGTGGGCCTTCCATTGGCAGGACTGTTGGGGGAGAACTGATTTTGCCCAGTGAAGAGCCATGAAGCCAGGGATAAAGGATTTGCCCAAGGTTGTGTGTGCCCCTGGCGGTGGGGGTAGAACCAGAACCCAGGCTTCCTCCTTTCAGATGCCTCATCGGGGAGGGAGACCAAAGGGGCCTTGTCTCAAGTAAAACCTGGGCATGGTTGCTCCTGGAGCTCTATGGTGAACGGTTGTCTTCCCTGAGCAGTCAGGAAAACCCGAGGAGGAAAGGTCTCTGCCTACAGAGATCAGACAGTAGAGGGACTTGCCCAAGGAGGCTGGACGAATAAGGGCCTCCAGTCTGGAAAGCTAAAGATGAAGACTAGTTACGAGTCAGGCCCCTACGGTGGTGTAAGTTAGGGCTCAGGTAGCCTAGTGTTGCCCTGTCCGCTGAGGCGCAGAGCACTGGGTGTCGGAGCTGCATGGGGAAACGGAGCAGCAGGGCGGGGCGGTGGGCAGCGCCACAGAAAGAGTGCACTGAGGCTCTCCAGGCAGGCAGGTGGGGCAGCCCCAGGGGTTCCGGGGGCCTCCTGAGAGATGCCAGTGACCAGGGCATGGCTGGCGTGGGAGCGGGCGAGATTGAAAATACAGGAAAATGTATATGTAGAGTTGAAAGAACAAAAATAAACAGATACGTGTACTTGACACACAGGGTAAGAACTAAGCCTCACAGAGGCTGCGGAAACCGCAGGTGGCCCCCAGGTGGCTTGTTAGTAAGCTGGGTTAGCAGTCAGGCCTCCTGTCAAAACTCTCCATGTCCCCAAGACCCGTGGCTGGCCAAGCTCAGGCCGTGTTCCTACCCCACGTCCAGCCAGCTTTCATCAGGCCGTGTCCACACCTAACAGAGCCCTCCTTGGGATGTTGGCAAGGATTTCTCCAGTTTTTGCTCTGGGGTCGCTGTGGGAGGTTCCGGATGGGTCTCCAGGGTTTGGGACTTGTGGGGCTTCCCTTCCTGGGTGAGCACTGTTTCAGCTGCTGCAGCCAGCCGTGTCCTAAGAGGAGTCTCTGTTCTTCTCAGGTCGAGATTGCCCAAACTCAGGGCAGGCCTCTCCATGTGCTTCAGAGCAGAGCCCCAGTCCCCAGTCTCCTCAGAACAACTGCTCAGGGAAATCTGCAGACCCCAAAAATGTGGCTGCTTTAAAGGTATCACAGGTCTCTCTTGGGTCTTGATTTCCTTGGAGGGATGGGGGGAGGGCAAGGAGGAGAATATCAAGGGACCGATGGGGCAGCTGCGTCCCTTACTAAGGACACACAGGAAAGGAGCAGCACAGACCTGCCTGGTGCTTCAGCAGGCTAGGGTAGCATCAGGAACCTGGACGTTTGCTACTTAATCTGGAGATAAGGCCGGCTCCTCCCATTCCCCCACCTACTAGCCGGCCCTGAGCCCCAGAACCAGCCTGAACCCTGTAGCACGAGGGAGGTGGCGGCTGGAAGAACTGGGTCAGCGGAGGAGCGGGCCGAGGGTGGCTGGGAAAGGCTGATCAGCAGTGGTCACAGCCCCTGCCGAGGGCCTCCATTCAGCAGGCAGGGTTTTCTAGCACCCCTGTCCTGCCCCCTCACGGCTCCTGTTGCCCCTCCTTCCACTTACTCTCTAGCCCCTGAGCCGCAGGTTGGGAGGGAGGGGCGGTGGCCCTCTGGTCCACCCTGTGTCACAGCGACCGCTCAATTCCCCAACAGAACCGGCAGATGAAGCATATTTCAGCTGAGCAGAAAAGGCGCTTCAACATCAAGATGGGCTTTGACACCCTCAACAGTTTGATCTCTAATAATTCCAAGCTGGTGAGTGGTGTCGGGTGGGTGGGGAGCCCCTGCGTTGGCCTCGGCGCCAGCTAGCCAGGCAGGGTCGCCGTGGCTGCCGTGGTTTGACCCTGCCGCCCCTCTCCCAGACCAGCCACGCCATCACGCTGCAGAAGACCGTGGAGTACATCACCAAGCTGCAGCAGGAGCGGGGCCAGATGCAGGAGGAAGCCCGGCGGCTGCGGGAGGAGATCGAGGAGCTCAACGCCACCATCATGTGAGCCTGGGGGGTGGGGCCCGGGGCTGGTGCCTCATCCTCCCAAGTGCATGTCCCAGAGGCAGGAGGGTCCTTTGGGCTTTTGTCATCCTCCTCCTCCTGAGGCCTCTCCTCTTGGGCCTGCGGTGATCAGCGGCGGCTGGCCCTGCCCACTTGGCGCCCCAGGGTCCAGCTTCATCGCCGGCCACTCTGAGCTTCCTCTGATTCTTCCTGTCGTTGCAGCTCCTGCCAGCAACTGCTTCCTGCCACGGGAGTGCCCGTCACCCGGCACCAATTCGATCACATGAGGGACATGTTTGATGAGTATGTGAAGAGCCGGACCCTACAGAATTGGAAGTTCTGGATTGTATCTTTGGGTTTTCTTTGCTTCTCCCACCCCCCACAAATGGTTGCTGTTGAGTTCATCCAGCAGGCAGTGCTGGTTTCTGCCTCGGTCCAGGGGCCTGGCCTGGCCCGTGGTGGGAAGGGGGGCTGTTGTTGGTGACCATCCAGGCTTGGGACTTCCTGGGGAGGCAGAACGATCAGCTTTGCTCTCTCCGTGCTTGGGAAATAAAGATGCTTTATCGCAAGGTGCCAGAGCCACCTGCCGAGGCAATGCTGTAGGAAGGAGGTAGGATCTAATCCGACACATCCTGGCGGCCATCTCCGGGGAGGGGTGAGTACTGCCCCGTGAGATAGATGGGAAACCAGGGCTCATAAATCACTAAGTGGCAGAGTCAGGATTTGAAACCAGCTCCCTGCAGGTTGTTGTCTGCGTTTGGGCCACGTGGTCTTTGATGCTGTTATGAGGCACGTATATCTGCGTGCTGGGCTCCGTCTCTGGGGCCAAGGCTCACCTGCTCTCAGCCTTCCAGATGTCAGCAGGGCCCCTCTGGGGGACAGCCCCTGCCTTGTCAGTCCCCTTTCAGCCACCTCTCTGCCTCAGACAGTCTACACACATGGTAGGTTGGCCATGTGTCTTCACCTTCTTGCTGACAGACAAGAGACAGCCGTTTAGGAGCAGAGGATTTTATCTGTTGGCACTCTAATGGCTGGTTTTGAAGAGACAGATGACAGACCAGACACCAGCTCTGTTGCCTCTGCTTTGCCCGGCTTACTCAGCCTGGCTCTGGCCCTTATCATTGATGGAGGTGGCAGCTGGGCTGAGCCAGGACCTCTTTGGTAAAATGGCACATTCTTCATCATCAGCCTCAGCTCGGAGGGCCATGGGTACAACCGTGGCTCAGATCAGGGAGAAAATGGACTCATGCTTTTGCATATTTGCTTGCCTAGGATGGTTTGGGAGACCCACACAGAATGTGACTAAGAGCCGGCGCGTGTGTTTATCACAAAAGACAGACCTCCTCCATCTCTAGACAGCTTCTGCTTTGCAGTCTGCTGTGTGCCTCTGCTCTTCTTGCAGGTATCCACAGACCGCTGGCTTTCATGTCAGGGTGCTCGGACCTGTTCCACACCGAGGAAACGTCCGTGTCCTTGCCTCTGGCCTGCTCAGTGCTCATTAACCTGTTGCTCAGTTAGAGTCAGATGGGAAGATTTCAGGGGAATGTGAGGGTGCATCTTATCTAGATCACACTCCCTCATCAACTGTACATGGTTACTTGTCGTCCCAGGGGGAGCTGGTCACGGGCAAGCCCGTAGCTGGACTTTATTCTCCTCACCCCCGGTTACGTGTCCGCCGGCCTCCTCCTTGCTTATCTTTTCTTTAACCCACGTGCCGTGCAGTTCAGTATCATTATCAAGCCGCTGTTTGAGTCCTTCAAGGGGATGGTGTCCACCAGCAGCCTGGAAGAGCTGCACCGGACGGCGCTGTCCTGGCTGGACCAGCACTGCTCCCTGCCCGTCCTCAGGCCAAGTGAGTCGGGGGCTACGCAGGGGCCGCGGCATCACGGGGATAGTCCCGGGGACAGGAGGGCCTTTGCAGACGGTGCCGCGGCAGATCCAGGCGCCCCCACGAGCGGCTGCATCAGCAGGGGGCCCCGGCCAAAGATGCCGGCTGCCGGACAGGGGCATGGCCCCTAGCGCCTGTCCTTTGCCTCCTGTCGTCCCCGCGCGTCCGTGTGCTCAGGTCCACCTTGCGTTTATTGAGCACCTACTGTTCACCAGGCCCTGTGCTTTCAGATGTTTTCTGATTTAATTCTTAGAACTAACAGGGCTGTGCCCTTATACTGAGGTTATAGAGGTGGACAAACAGGAGGAGCTGGGGGTTGCCTGCTTGTCCGCAGGAGAGGAGACAGGATTTGCAGTTGTCCTAGGGGCAGAGAGGCTTTGCTGGCGTCTGTCCCTCGGTGGCGCTCAGGGCCTCTGCTCCTTCGGGGACGTGAGAATTAGCGCACGCTTTGTGCGCACGAGCGCGTGTGCCGCCCGCGCTGCGACCCGAAGCGCCGCGTGGCCCGTGTCCCTGGGCTAACCCGCCCCTTCCTTCCAGCGGCGCTCCACAGCCTTCGGCAGCTGAGCACCACCACGTCCGTCCTGACAGACCCGTCCCAGCTGCCGGAGCAGGCGGCACAGGCCGTCACCGCCATCGGCAGGAGACCGGGGGACTCGTAGCGGCGCCTGGCGGGCGCGTGGCCGCGCAAGATGCCACGGAGGCTCTTCCCTGCCCGCTGCCCGCGGAGAGGGGCTGCGGCCCATGCCTCTCCTGACGCGGAGCTCAGGGCCCCCCTCCAGCTCCGCCGGCCCACTGGGCCACTCAACACTGCGCTCAGGGCTGAAGCAGGTTCGGGGCCTGCCGACAGCAGTAGCCCGTCTTTGGGAACCCCTTGCTGTGAACTCTTACTCACTGACCTCAGTCGTGACCTCCCCTGCCCTCAGGCAACCCAGACAAAGTCCCGTCCTGCTGGTGGTCTGCCGGGCCCCTGGTGCCTGAGCAGGGAGTAGAGGGGCAAAGGGGCACGGCCTGCGCCTGGGAGCTGGGAGGCATAAGGGTTCCTCTTCAGTTCTGTCCTCAGACTTCTGGATGCTCGCTCCTGTCACCCCTGGGCACTCGGAGGGCGCCGCTCTGACTCGCCCGTGGGGCAGGTGGAAGGCACCTCCCTTCCTCCCTCACACTCTGACCTTGTAAGTAGGTTTGGACAGCTGCTCCCACCGCACAGGCCGCCAGGGAACCCCGGAACCCGCGTGCGGAAGCGGCGGGTGTGAATGCTCGCGGCGCGAGAAGGTTCGCACAAGCAAGGCCAAGCTGCTGCTCTGGCTCGGAGACCCCTCGGGTGGCGCCGCGGGCGGCCTCGCTCCGTCGTCGGTGGCTTGAGAACCGTGGCGGGGACTCAGGCGGGGCCTCACTGGGCGCCACCTCACCGCATGGCCCTTGTTCTGCACCTTCCTCCAAGCCGCAGCCTCGGGTGCACGCTCGCAGCCCTGAGAGCGCAGCATTTGAGAGGCCAGACTCCACGGTGCCGCCGTGGGTCTGTCGCCTTGTCTGGATGGTTCAGCCAGGAGCCCCAAACCATAACAGTTCTCGGACCAAAGATGTCACCACACCCAAAGTCTGTCCTGTGTTGTGTTTGGCGGAAGAGATTGAATGTTGACGGGCAGCCCTCTGAGGCAGCCAGCCTCAGTCTCTGGGCATCTCCCAGATCATACAGTGAAGAGTTACACTCATATTTGATCCAGGCGGAGGGATATCTGGGGGCAGCGGCCTGCTTCTGAAGGTGGAATTGCATTCGGGGTGTCCGGGCCCATCCTCTTGTATGTGCAAGAGGAGCTGCAGATGGAAGGGCGGGTGCTCTCTCTAACGCTCAGGAAGCCCAGCCAAGGGTACCTCCTCGTTGAAAGAATGTGCTTTTAACGTCCTGCTGTGAAGTTCAGAGGCTCAGTGGACTTTCCAGTCAATCTCTGTCCTCCCTGCCAGAGATGGAGCCTGGGCAGTGCTAGGCAAGGCCGGGAACGCTGGGTAGGCTCTGAGTGGGGGCTGCTGAGGGCAACCTCCTGCAGCTTGGACCCATTTGGAGGCTCCCGCGGGTTCCTGGAGGCCTGCTGAAGGTGCTCAGGGGGCAGCCAGCCCTGCCTCGGCCTCCGTTGATGGAGGATGGCAGGGGTGACGTCTCCCTGCCGCCGGCCGTGCCACTGTCTCTGCTGCAGGTCACTGACCGTCACCTACTCCCTTGTCTGTGCTTCAGCCCCGCACAAGAGCAGCTTGGCGGCGTCCCTCAGCCTCTCCAGAAAACGTGTTTACAAGCCTCCCAGATCACTCCCCTGAGGGGCGAGCACAAGACAAGGCTGGGCTGATCCTTAATGTCCACTGGGAAGTGGTAAGAGAGCTCATCCTTCACCCCAGGATAAACACGAATTTGCCCTTCAGAAGGGGAAGACCACCATGGTAAGAACTCACTAGGGTCAAAAGGAAAAACACGAGACATCCCCAGCTACGAGGGCTTGTGGAGGGTCATGAGCTCCGTCCCTTCCCCAGTTCCTGTGCCTTTGTAAACCGCGTGAATGGCCGTAATGCTTGGCCCACCAAGACCTCTCCTAAATGAGCAGCCTTCTCCCCACCCGGTGCTGGGAGTCTTTTTCTTTTTTTCTTTTTCTTTTTTTTTTTTTTAACTCTGTGGGATATAAAATTGGCCTCTTGCTTCTTCGGCCTACCTCTCCTCTTCCTTTTGCTGAATTAATGTTCATGATTCTGTTTTGTTAAATATTTAAGGCTGTTGGGTCACATGAGACTTTGAAGGGTTGTGTGTGTGTGTGTGTGTGTGTGTGTCTGTCCTAGCAGACTGTTAACTAGATGCATGTTTTTGTTTTGAGACATTTACTTAAATCCATTTCTCTTGGTGCTCACAATTACCACGGCTGTTGGGCCACAAAGCTGTATCTCTTACCACAGACATGACTGTTTCTTGTCCCAGAATAATTTCTTATTTTGGAATCTTGCCCGATGAATCTGGCCAGACAGAGGGGCCCAGTGGGGGCGCAGGGGCAGCGAGACCACCCTGCCAGAGGGCTGCAGGGTGTGCTGCCCACAGGGCTGTGCTTTGTTTACACTCATTTTCACCCCTGCTCCTGCCTCTGCTCCCATAAAAGAAGCTTTAAAATGCTGACACTTTGGAGAATAAAAAAAAATCAACCTGAAAAGGAAAAAAAAAAAAAAAAAGCCTGTCTGACACATAAATCTTTGAAAAGCATTTCTATGAAATCTTTCTGTGCCATCAGCCCTCTTCACACTGTGCCTGCTCTTTCACGATGAGTGGGAAACGCAGGGACAGGGCAGGTGCCACCAAGGGGCTTTCTAAAAGTTGGCGGGCCCGCCCCTCCCATCTCAGGTGGGTTACACCTGCAGTCACCCCCAGGGGGGCTCCAGCCCGCGCACCCCTGCTGCTGTCCAGCCAGTTTCTCACAAGAGAGCAGCCGTCCCAGCATCAGAAGTTAGAGTTAATGAGGTGCTAGCGGACGTCACTGGCCCTTGTCAGGAGGAAGGACTGGGGGGCAGGGAACCCCCAGCGCCACCCTGTTCCTGGAGCCTCTGCAGGAGGAGGGATGGTCAGTTGTCGCCCATGTGTCCTTGGGCACCCAGCTTCATCCGCTTCCTGCCCTTGTGACCTGACGGGCCGGGAGGTTTTCCTGCTTTGGCCGATAGAAATATAAACTTAGACTGAGCAAGCATGGCCCCCCAGGGTGGTATCAACCCCCTTTGTCTCGACCCAGGTGAAGGGGTGTGGTGGCAAGGGACCTGAGAACTAGAGGAATGAGGAGCAGGTCCATTGTTTGCAGGATTACAAGCTGGCACGGTCTAGCTGAAGCACACGGCGTGGCGCCGGGCTGTCCTCAGTGCTCCCTGCCCCATGCCCAGGACCCCCCACGCCGTGGATAAGCTGGTCCGCTCGCTCCTCTCTCTCTGGTGGAAAGTTGCCTTTCCCTAGAGATGGCCTGCTTCCTGTTACGCACTTTGCCAGTGACGAAACCCACCCACCGCTCATGGGAACTTAGCTTTGCCAAGTGTTCCCTCGGTCATGGTCTCACTGGAGGAGAGAGCTGGGATGCCCTGGTGTGAGCAACATGGCAGCCGCGGCCTGAGTCTTCACCTCGGTGCCCTGATACCGTGTATGTTGAGGATTTTCACCACGTCTGAACATGCGCAAGGGGAGAAGGGGGTTGGAGGGTGGAAGAGCTTGGAAGCTCAACACCTGTTTGTAACTTTCAGTAGTCTCCTTGGCCTTGACCCTCTGGGATCGGAGGGATGGCGAGAGCAGGGAGAAGCCTTAGGACCTACTGTGTACCTCCAGCAACTGCCCCGTTTTGTTTTCCTTCTGAGGACTTGGCTTTCCTGGCTCATCACGCAGGGGGCTGTCTCCTTGTTGGGATTTGTGAAAATCAGCCTTTGAGAAAGAAAAGGGAACTTTTCATGTTAAATGTTGGCTTTGATTCTGTGTGTGTGTGTGTGTGTGTGCACGCGCACGCATGTGCACGTGCTTGCACAAGCCCGCCTGTGTTTGTTTACTTAATGGAATTTTATTTTTGTGAAATTCCTTCCCAAATATGTAGCAGAATTCACCTCCATCTCCCAGTCAAACTTTTGGTTTCACAGTCAACCCTGGGCGTCACTAATTTGAAGAATTCTCTTCTGGGTTTCTAAACAGAGGTATGCTCCTCCCAAGGCTTGAGATTGTGGAGGGCTTGGGAGAAACGGATACATTTCCGTAGAGTTTGTCCCGCAGTTGAAGGGTATGAAGGGCTCAGCCCAGGGACACACAATTCCTAGGCTGTGTTTCTCACAAGGGAGCTTGAACACAGCCTCTCCCCGACAACGCCCTGCTGTTTCTCTACCCGAATCTTCTCAGACGGCCCGCGAAACGGAACCTCGTTCATCTACTTATTTTGTAACATCACGGCTGAGCTACCACGGCGTTCTTTTCCTTTGCCAGCTTCCAGTTCATTGTATAAATGGTTCGTTTTTTCTGTTGTGAGCTTTGGTGATTGCGTCAGGGCTCCGTTAGGAGGCAGTTTCCCCTCGTGGTCTGAACAGCAAAACCCGAGAAGAGCCTTGTTACTCGGAGGCTCCCTCAGGCCTGCACCACCCAGAACACCACCCTTCATGCTCCGCTGTCGAGAAGCACGTTTCCACCAGCTGTATTCAACACTACAATGCAGTTTTAAAACTATATTTGCATCCGAGACAATAAAAAGCTGTATTTTTTTTGAAAAGCCTGTGATGTGTGGTCTTAAATGCTACCCTGTTGGGCTGTGGAAATGATGATACTGGGAGATCGGAACAAAGTGATGCTCAGACTGGCTTACTCATTCCAACCTTGGGCGGTAGGTTCAGCCTGGGGTGAAGGCTTGGGGGAGAGAGGCCCCAGGTGAGTAGGGGGTCTTGAAGAGAGGCTGCTGGAAGGACCCATGTCAAAAGCCCCAAATCACCAATTCTCACTGTGAATTCACCAGGGCCTGGTGCTCCAGGCCTTTCCCGGGTGGACAGAGTTCCGTGGTGCTTGTACAAACTGCCATGTCCTCATCTGGAACCCGGGCAGATCGCACCTGCCCTGCACACTTGAACAGGGTGGTTGTGAGGTTCACATAAAATCCTGTCAGTGGGCTCCGTAACCCATGAGACACTGTACTTAGAAAGTGTAGGTTCTCGTCAGTATGGCTAACACTGACCCCAGTGCTGAAAGTGTTCTAAGTCGAGGTGATGACCCCAGGAGGCCATGGTCTCCCTGCCAACCGGGGACCCAAAACCGTAGGAAAAGGCAGGCAAGTTGACCAGCCAAGATGCCCTTTGTTGATCTGAGAAGATTTTGATGATTTCTGTTCAATTTAGAACCTTCTCTCTTTTCCATACATTATTCCTGCACCCACCACCCCCCATCTCCCCCACCTCAGCTCCTGGTGCATGAGAGGGGACACAGTGAGCTGAGTCATGCTACCTCCTGCAGGCAGCCTGGCCCCTGCTGGCTTGTTTCACCAAACAACTGCCCAGATCCAGATCTCTGACTGAAATGCCGTGGGTTGATAGACAGGCTCTTGTCTGATCAAACCCGATGCCTCCCCCAAACGAAAAAGTCTCCATGACACAAAGCGAGATTTTGGGTCCTAAAAACAGGAGGCCCTAGAAAGAAGCAAGTGATTCACGGACTCCTCTGGGCTGAAGAAGCTTGATTTCCATTGAGCAACAGATGTCTGCTTTGCTCTTCTGAAGTTTTCGAACCCAGCTCCATGTTATGTATGGAATCTTAAAAGATGCTCGGGACATAATTCAGAGAAGAAGGTTGAGTTTGGATAGACTGGGAGGGGGGAGATAGAGCAGAGGGAGCAAGACCAGGGCACTGGAGACTGTCCCTCCGCATCAGGCTTTGGGCTCCTCAGGGACATGGACGCCCCTGGATAGTTCTCAACCTGGCAGTGTGGCTATTCCCATTTCCTAGAGGAAGAAATCAAAGTACTTTCCAAAGTATCAAGGCCATGTGGATCAGAAAAGGCTAAAGCGTCGTTTTTTGTTTTTGTTTTGTTTTGTTTTACGTTGTAAATGGCGTCTCCACCCAACATAATGGGAGGATTATCCTTGACCAGTCCTCCTCCCCTCCGCCACCTCTCCCAACACCAACTCTGGCCAAGTTCGTCTTCCAGATCTCTTCCAAATACGTGATTCACTTCTCTCCATCACCAGTGCTGTCTTCAAATCTAAGTCGCCATTATTTCTCAACCAGTTCACGTAACAGTGTCCCCCTCACTCTGTCTTGTGGTGTCTGTCACAGTCACTGGGAGCTTGGAAAAGCCCAGGTCCAGCCATGTCACTCCTGTGCTCAGTCCGTCCAGGGCCTTCCAGATGAGGGCCAAGTCCTAGGATCTATTTCGCCCCCGTCAACCCCCCCGCCGCCCTCTCTTGCCCATCTGGCCCCGGCTTGCCTTCCCAACCTCATTTTTGCTCTTTCCTGTTCTCTGAACGTACGGTGTTTTATGTGCCATGTCACTCTTAGGGCTTTTCCAAGTCCTCTTTCCTCTGCCCAAGCCTCTTGCCATCTCCCGGCTCGCTCCCATTCTTTCTTCCAGTCCCAATCTTTGGACCTCAGTTCTTCAGAAACCAGCCCTCATGTCCCCCCACCCCACCCCCGATGCAGAGATGCACACACACGCATGGAGTCAGGCCTCAGAGCACCCTGTTTGCTCAGGACGACTGTCGTGTTTGTCATTGTCATCTGTCTTCCCCGCCAGGTACCGAGGCCCGTCAGGACAAGGATCTGGTGCTGATGGTCACTGCCATGCCCAGCATGGAACGGGCGCATGGCAGGTGCACAGGTAACCTGCTGAAAGAGCCCTCAGCCCATACCATTCCAGCAGCCCAGCTGCCCCTTCCTCACGTCTGCGTCAGAGAGGTAGGGTGTGGGGACCTGTGAGAAGAATTCAGGAGAGGGGAAGGGGCAACTAGCATGTGGAGAGGTCAAGCTGGCATAGATGTTGACCAGGGTTAAAAGGTTGACCCCTGGGATTCCATGTTTAATATAAAACATCAACTCTAGTAACTTAGGTTGTAGATATAAGAACAATCTCTTACTGGCATTTAAAAGCCTTTCATCTTAGATGTGAATATGATTATTCCCTAGGACACAGTTTACCTTCTTTTTTATATGTCAAGATCTGAATTTAGCCTTGTGTAGGATGGTGTGATTGCACTTGTCCTAAATTTCAGTAAGTGTGCCTTTTACCTTTTTATTTCAGAAAATCTCCAGTATACACAGAAGTAGAGGGGATAGTACAAGGAGCCCCCACTTACTCATCATCCACGTTAACAACTACCAACTCGGGGCCAGTTTTGTTTCGTATGTACCTCACCCCCGCCCCCATTGTTCTGAAGCAAGTCCCAGACACCATATGGGTTTCATTTGTTAATAGTAAATGTGCTTCTTAGTACCGTTTACAGAAGTGCGTATGTGCCTGTGGTGTTGGTCATTTAAAGGCTCCTGAAGGCTTTGTCAAAAGCTACAAAGTCATAGTTAGTAAGAAATCTGAGGACTGGGGAGTTCTTATTGATCAGATTTTCTGTTTCACAGAATCATTAGCTAGGAACCCCTTATTGTTTAAAGAGGGAAGAGCTTTCTAAGATAAGAGTCTGCTTTCCTGCCTTTAATGGGTATGGTGCAGCAAACAATCTAATCTCCTGATCTAGTCTGACTGATTTTCTTTCCTGGGGGACGAGACCAAGCAGCGCTGGCTGGGTTCCATTACAGACTTGTGGGGGGAGTGGGGCCTGCATGAGCAGGAGGTAGCAGTCCTTCCCACCTGCCCCCTCACCTGTCTGGCATCCCGAGTCCCCAGCCCACCCATCAGTGCCACCGAATGACCTCCACCGGGATATGCGTAAGCTGCTCGCATTCCGTGCCTCTTCTCCCACACCTGCCTGGGGGTTGCCCAACTACGCCTTCTTTCCTCCGGTCTTTGATCAAGAAGCATGTGCTGCAAGCCAAATTCGAACTCAGCTCAGGGAACACCGCAGTGCCACAAAATCTGTCTTGATACTGAATGATGGGGGTCAGCACGGGGTGCCATGAGGTCACGAAGGCATGCCAGGAACCAGTCCTGGGAGGCGCTGGAAACGTCCCCGTGGTAGGTGGTGCCTGAGCCAGGAGCCCGAGGGACAAGCAGAGTTCGCCGGGCAAAGGGGCAGAACCCTCAGGGAAGAAGAGCAGGCTCCACAGGAGGCCGACACCTCCCCCTCTCCCCGCTGGGGCTTTTTCTCCTTATCTCTTCTGCCTCGCCATTTTCTCCTTTTCCAATTGACTCACTTCTCTCTAAGCACCAGTTTCTCTTCCTCAAGTCTCTCTGCTTCTAACCACCATTTCTTTAACTTTCAATTGCCCCTGCCCGGAGCCTGTTCATCCCCGAATGTTCTGCATCTCGCTACCTGGCGTTGCCAGCCTCCCAGTTGCTCAAGCGGATTCTTTAGACGTCCCCCCGGGTTCTTCCGTCCCTTCACATCCCACCTTTAGTCTGTCGGTGAATCCTGTCAGCGATGCCTCCAGAATAATCACAGGTCCATACCCCACCCCCACTGCCACCGCCTGGAGGGCACACCGTATTCTCCAAGTTCCACTTCTTGCTACCAATTCTTCACAGAGCTGGAGCGACCTTATTAAAGACACTTATGACACGTTGTGTCCTTCCCCTGCTCAAACTTCCAGTGGCTTCCTGTTGCATTTAGAATAAAGTCCAAACTCCTCACCATCTGGGTCCTGACTGCCTTGGGCGAGTGACAACCTTTCTGGGCCTGAAAGTCCTCATCTAGAAAACGTGGATAAAAATCACACCCACCCTGGGACGCCTGGGTGGCTCAGTCACTTAAGCGTCTGCCTTCAGCTCAGGTCATGATCCCGGGGTCCTGGGATCGAGTCCCACAGCAGGCTCCCTGCTCAACGGGGAGCTTGCTTTCCCCCCCTGCTTGTGCTCTCTCTCTCTCTCTCAAATAAATAAATAAAATCTTAAAAAAAAAAAAATCACACCCACCCCACTGGGTTGCTGAAGGATTAAGCAAGCCAGGTTTACAATAAGCACCTGTAACGTGAGCTGCTTTTGCTAATCTTCATCTCTCTTCCCCGCATTCTTCCCCCGTTCCCAACATTGCACCCTCTTCCATTCTCTTGGATTTTATTCGTGCTAGCGCAAAGGCCATCCTCCTTTTTAATACCCTGGGGTCATTCTGATTCTCCCTGCCGCACAGCATCCTGCCTGCTCCCTTTCATTAACCAAATCTTGTGTTGTGAAATCTTGGTGCGAAATGTCCCGACCGGGGTCCCATTCGGGGCCGTGGAACAGCTGATATGGATCAGAGTTGAGAAATATCCCAACAGAATCTTCCTAGCTCACGCAGGTCTCCAAAGTTCAGGAAATAACATTCAGCTTCCTAACACTCATCCCTTTTTCAAATACCTGCCCTCCTCCCAGCACTTCAGAACTTCCTGTTCTAGAATAAAGTCCCCAGTCCTTAGTGTGTCCTTCAGTAGGGCCCCGACTCCACCTCCCATCCCTGCTCGTATCACAGCACAGCTTCCAGGCTCGGTGCACGCCCTGTGGTTACGAGCTGCTTCCCTCTGGCCCACATCCCCTGCCCCCGGAAGGCCTTGTGCTCTGTCCCTCTCGGTGGCCTTCCCTGGCCCACCCCACCTCGGGCTTTGAACTGCCACCAGTGCTCCACTTGTCACTTCTGACACATGCCACCTTCTCTGGGTAATGTCACTGTCATTCCTACCCTCCCACCCTCACCCCTGCCTAGGGACCGAGACCACATCTCATTTTATCAGCCATCTACCATAACACGCAGTTTCTGTGTCCTGGGCACCGAGTCAGCTCATGGTTTAAGTCAGATCTACCACTGCCTGCCCGGATGATGCAACACCGTATGAAATGCGTGCTGTTATTATCCCCACTTTAGAGATAAGGAAGTTGAGGCATAGAGAAGCACACAGCTTGCCCAGCGGCACCATCACGAAGTGCAGCTCTGAGCTCTAGACCTGGGTGTGTCAGGCTGGAGAGTTTCGCATTATCCCAATTTGTATCCTCAAGAGGCCCTACGGGGTCCGTAGACTGTTATCCTCATTTCCCACAGGAGAAAACCAAGGCTTCTCTTTCATGATGAGAACACTCAACAAACCGGGAGTAGGAGGGAACTTCCTCAACCTGATAAAGGCATCTGCGAAGACCCCCAGCTGACACGTTGAATGGTGGAAGGCCGAATGCTTTCCAGTTGAGATGGGCACAAGGCTCCACGCGGTCCTGGACGTCCTCGGTAGCACGGTTACGCAACACATAGAAATACAACACATTCCAACTGGGGGGAAAAAAAGGAGTAAAACTATCTCTGCGTGCAGATGACATGCTATATATGGAACACCCTGAAGGATACACATGCACACAGACGCCTGTGAGAGCCAGTAAATGAGTTCAGCAAGGTCACACACAGGACGAAAGATCAGTACACAAAAATGAGCTGTGTTACTGGACTCTAGCAATAAACAAGCCAAAAGTGAAATTAAGAAAACAATTCCATGTACAGGAGCATCAAAAAGAATAAAATACTTAGGAATAAATTTAATCAAGGAAGTGCAAGACTTTTACACTGAAAACTACAGGACAGAGTTCAGGAGTGTTACTCAGCCATAGGAAGGAGTGAAGCACCGACCCATGCTACAACGTGGACGGGCCTCAAAAACGCCATGTGACATGGTAGGAGCCCACAGACAAAAAGGCCACACAGTGTATGATTCCATATATGAAATACCCAGGACACATAAATCTACGGAGACAGAAAGCAGATTGGTGTTGCCAGGGTCAGCGGGGGAAGGAGAGTAGCAGTGACTGCTTAATGAGTATGGCGCCTCCTTTTGGGGTGATGATGATGTTTCAGAACTTAATATGGGTGGTGGTCACATGACACTGTGAACATACTAAATGCCAACGAAATCGTACACTTCAAGATGGTAAATTACACGAAGTTCACCTCAGTTAAAACAGTGTTGAAAGAAATTAAAGAAGACCTAAATAAATGGAAAGTCATTCTGTGTTCATGGGCTGGAAGACAACATTGTCAAGATGGCAGCACTCCCCAAAGTGACCTACAGACTCGATGCTATCCCGATCAAGATGATAACTTCCCCTTTTGGAGAAACGAACAAGCTGATTTAAACATTCATAGCAGCATTATTCATAATAGCCAAATATGGAAACAACCCAAATGTCCTTGAACTGATGAACGGACAAATAAAATGTGGCATATCCATACAATGGAATGTTACTCCACCATAAAAAGGAATGAAGCACTGTCACCTGCTACATGGGTGAATCTTGACAACGTTATGCTAAGTAAAAGAAGCCAAATTAAAAAGGCCACATATTGTACAATTCCATTTATATGAAGTGCCCAAAATAGGCAAATCCATAGAGATGGAAAGTAGGTTAGTAGTGGGGCGCCTGGCTGGCTCAGTCGGTAGAGCATGTGACTCTTGATCTCAGGGTTGTGAGTTAGAGATCCACGTTGGGCATACAGATTACTAAAAATAATAAGTAAACTTTAGAAAAAGAAAAAGGAAAGTAGATTAGTGGTTTCCAGGGGCTGGAAGAATGGGGAATGACTGCTAAGGGGTACAGGGCTTCTTTTGGGGGTGATGAGAATGTTCTGGAATGAGGTTACAGTGACAGTTGCACAACCCTGCGAACATGTATACACACACATGCACACACACGCATGCATATATACACACACTACCAAACTGCATAGTTCAGAAAGATGATGTGATTCATCTAAGGTCACATCACATACAGTGAGTAGAGGATCAGAACCTGGAGCCCAAGACCATCTGCTCTTGGCACCAATGCTGTTGGTGCCAAAGGTTTCCGGGGCCCTTGAATAAGTAAATTAAGAAAGCTGAGCTCTGAAAGAGCCCCAGAAATGTCTTTCTGAATAGTCCTTCTCATTGTGAGGTACTACAGTTTGGGATAGTTCACAAAAGGGCTGGGGGAGGAGGACCACATGGGTTACCCTGAGAAGTCCATCGTACTCGACAAGAAATAACCTGTCCCTGATGGGCTGCTCTGGCCATTCCTTTCAGCTGGGAATCTGAGGAGCAGGCGAAGAGCTGTGAACGGTGGACCCTAGGCTCATTTCAGAGATCAGGGGCAAGAAATCAACCCACTGCCACAGTGAACAGCCTTGGGGTGGCCTTCAAACGCTCTGTTTTTCATCCTGTTTTTCTCACACTGCTATTTCTTTCAAAATTTGAAATTGTGTTTATCTTACTGAATTCCTCAAATAATACATACTAGTTTTAGAAAATTTGGGAAAGTACATAAAAATAGAAAGAAAATGACTCCGGTCCCCAAGGATAGCTTTTCCCAGGCCTGCTTTCTGTCCATATAGGGGACCTACGT